TACTTCTTTTCTTCATTCCATTCCTTTTTTTTCTTTCTTTTTTGTGTCTTCTTTTTTCGTCTTCCTCGTTCTTTACGTTCTGCTGACTTCTTTTTTCTTCTTCTTGATTATGTTTAATTTCTCCTCCTCCTCCTCTTCTTCTTCTCTCTCCTCCACCTCGTCATCATATTTTTCCTCCTTTTCTTCATCATCATATTTTCCTCTTCTTCTTCTACTCTTTCTTCTTCTCCTCCTCGTCCCCTTCTTCTTGTTTCTTCTTCTTCTTGTTTCTTCTTCTTCTTCTTTCTTCTTCTTCTTCTTCTTCTTCTTCTTCTTCTTCTTCTTCTCTTTCCTAACATCGCCATCCACATTTGTCTTATCTCTGCCTTACTCTTCCATTTTCTCTTCTCATGTTTCAACTTCTTGAATTTTTCTTCATCGATATGTGAAGATGAGAACTGGAAGAGTCAAGTTACGTTTCGTTACATTTCCTTGGTAATGTTATGTATTCATTTTTCCCTTCCCAGATATGGATTAAATAGTATTACCTGTATCTGGAAAAATCATCCTTATCTCCAAAAATGTGTTAATGCAATATCCATTCGCCAAAAAAAAAATATTCTTACAGTCCAAGACGTATTTCGGATTTAAATAATCGTTAAAGGGTCGATAAACTGTAAAAAACAAATCAATTTGTTTTCATTTTCTTCAACTTTCCTTAAGTTTAAATACTTCTCTTTCTTGTTTATTTTTTAATTTTTTCTTCTTCCTGCTCTTTCTCTTTCCTTCTATTTATTCTTTATTTTCTTCATCTTATTCCCTTTTTGAAATTGAAATTCATTCATTTTTTCTTATGTTTGAACTTCTTACTCGTCTTTCTCGTTCCTCATATTTTAATCTCTTTTTCTTCTTATTATTATTTTTCTGCTATAATTTCCTTCATGCAAATATTTACTCATTCATTCTTCATTTCTTTCTTTATTTTTTCTATCTTTTATTCTTTCTTTTTTTAATTATTTACTTATTTTATTCTTTACTTATGTTTTTATTTTATTCTTAATTTATTTATTTATTTTAGCCTTTCTTTTTTCTTTATTTCTTTTTCTTTATTTCTTTTATTCTTTCTTTATTTATTTCTTTCTTTTATTTCTTTATTTCTTTTATTTATTTATTTCTTTTATTTCGTTATTTCTTTCTTTCTTTATCTTTTATTATTTATTTATTTGTTCATTTCTTTCCTTATTTATTTATTTTATTCTTTGTTCTTTCTTTATTTATTTTATTCTTTCTTTCTTTATTTTTACATTCATTCTTCATTTCTTTTATTTTTTTTCATTATTTATGTCTTTCTTCCTTTTTCAAGGTTTTCTTTACTTCTTTCTCTACGTTAACCAACTTGTCAACGAGTGCATCTCTGATTCGTCTTTAGATTGGTGAACTCCTGTTGTATACCCCACCCCCTCGTGCTGGCGGGAGGTAGTCTTGGCGCGACTGTCTTGATTCACTCATATGTTGCATTCTTCTCTCTGCCATTTTCCAGTCGAGTGATCTCTAGTTGGTTTATTCGGAGGTAAAATGAGAATTTCAACAAAAGGGATTTTGAAAACTTATCTATTTTATTAACAAGTTGACGTGTACATTTTAACTAGCCAGTGGGGTCACTCTATCACCCACACTGAGTAGCAAGTTCTCCGAGACACGAAATAACCACGTCTGCTTTCTTCGACGTCTAAAACTTAACTCTCTGAAAACACTTTCTATCTTTCTAATATAGGCACTAGCATGAGATCGCTGGAAAATGAGTATAGCATGATAATAACGGCCTTAAACTTAATGGAAACAAAGTTTTATCGTCAAAATGTTTATGTTACTATTAAGAGGAAAGAACAAAGTAGTTTTTATTTTTATTTTTAAACTTTGGATTGAAAAACCTTGTTTCCATCATCAGAACATCTAGTAAATAACATAGCAAATTTTTGTACATTTTTTTATGACAGACATTAATTTTGAAAATCTTGCAAAAATAAAAATAATTGTCGGATTTTAATGAAACTTTCATAAACTATTCACAAATGATAGAACTTATTATAAATATGTTTATTTTTTTTTTAAATCATGGTAATTTTTTAGATTTATTATCACTCCATAACTAATTTTATGAAAACTCTTGAAATACAAAAGTGTGCATTTTTAGTGATTAATTAGTCGAAAGCACAAGGCTTTGAGGAAAGTAAATCATGTTTTGTTTGTTTGTTTTAGTTGACCCCCTAACTCTAAAATTTAAAATCAGCTCTGAATTGTAACATATAAAACTCAATAAAACAAAGATATTATTTAATTTCAAAAGCTTTTACTTGTTTTTATGAATATGGATATTATCTGAAAGCAAAAAACGTTTTCGTTGAAAAATACATTTTTACAACAATTATATTTATTTCTTAAGTTATTTTATTTTTTTTACATTAAAGTTGTTAAATATTCTAAAATTAATGATAATGGTGTACAATTCAGTCGATGGTGTTGTTAAGTAGATATATATCATTACAGATTATAAATTGTAAATCTAGTTACAATCAGCAAACCTCAAATAGATTAAAAAAATCTAATATAACATGATTTTTTGTGTCCATAAAAGGGCCGAAATTCAAATATACGGAAGACCAGAAGCATCATTAAAAGAGAAAAAAATTGTATAATATCTCAGATGATAAGGGTACCTACAAAGTATTATGTACATATCTTATGAAATTTATATGGTCTTATTTTTATATTATCTCAGTTAGTTATGACATTTTTCCACAAATAAAATATCAAAATTAATGAGTGGAAATACAAATAATACCGTAAAATGTAATAAATGTATATTAAATTATATTTTATGTACACTTAACATTTCATAAGAAAGGTACCTAATTAATTTTATGTACCTTTCTTATGAAATTTTATCTCACTCTCAACAGTCTTAGTTTTAAAATTTTCATAAAGCATCGTTAACGTAAAAGTGGAAAGCTAAGTACTAAGAAACAATAAAATAATTAGAGCGCTGAAATTTTTCCTTAAAAATAACGAGGTAAATAAGTTAGTTCAATAAAAAGCTAAATTATATCACTTCTGTCCTTCCGTACGATAACTTTTCCTTGCGTAAAGCATCAATCATCACATAGTCACAAGTCGTCGCTGTTAAAACTTGCTGTCTCTTGTTTTAAACCACATTTTTTCGGCGAATAAAGTAAGTAATGTTTGTTTTAAAATATATTAAATAAACTTTAAAATTTCTAATTTTGATAAAATAAAGTTTTAAAAAGTATAATTGTTTTTTGACAGAATTTTAAACGGAAAAATTAACTTTTGTTTACAAAATTGAAAAAAAAATGGCTGACCATCGATTTTGTGTCAATTTTCCGGATTAAAAGAAAACATGATTTTAAACGACAATTTTGGACGTGCTAGGAAAGATTAAAAAAATGTAAAAATAATCAGAGTACTTTGATCTTTCTTCTTTATAATAATATACACATTTAGACAATAAAAAAATAATAATTTTTCGTCAAGTACATCATGCTATGCTCATTTTTCCAGCAATCTCATGCCTTTACCTACTCTAATATTTCCACGTTCGTCTCAGCCAATCAAAAATCACATCCCTATTTTGTCTACCACCTGACGTTAAGGTCTGCCTCAGAAGGTCTGAGCCAAATACACTACCACTAAAAAACAATAGTATGAAACTATTATTTAATACACCTACAACATTACAAACATAAACGGAACTCACTTTCAAACGAATAAATTCGACTAGAACGGCAGAATATACAAAATACAGCCATATTGGAAGGATGAGACACTTGACTTTATTTCACCTGAGTTGCACATCTCCTTCTGTGTTACATATCTTTTCATGGCGTTTTGTGTGTATGTGTTTCACCTTGTACAAGATCCGGGAGCCACTCTAGGTAGAGGGTTATATTAAGCGACATTTTATGCGGATAGGAGAGGAAGATAACGTTTTATCCGAGACTTGAACAGGTTAACATTGTAGTAATCCGGGAAGCATCCTCTTGGGAGTAGGTTCCACAGGGCAGTAGTTCTCTGGAAGAAGCTGTTAGAGTGGAACTTACTTCTCACCGATGGAATATGGAAAGAATATGAGTGGTTTGCTATAATGTGAGTGGCATTGCGGGCCCTAGCCGTGAAGCTTAGAATCGGTGGAACCAAGGAATGTCGTTCGTCCGAGAACTTTCCATGGAATTAGCGATAAAGCAGGGAGAGGCTTACCATATCCCGCCTGCGAGAAATAGTTTGGAGGGTGGAAAATAATTTATCATGCACATGAACTCGGAGACGCTTTTTGGAATCTATCTTAACTGGAGAGTGAAGACTGGGCAGCCTCCGCCCAGTACTCCATGTTAGGCTTGATCTGAATCTTGTAAAGATAGAGGAAAGCAGGAGGAGTCAGGCTCTTACTGGAGCGGTACAGGAAACCGACCATTTTTCCAGCATCTTTATCGATGGATCGTATATACAAGTTCCTCTTGAGCTCAATTGTGAGTTTAAGGCCCGATAATTTCTTAAATAATGTCTCTCCCCGACTTCCCATCTTTTGTAGCCCTTTTAAGTTTTTTTTCTTTTCCCCCTTTCCCTATTTTGCTATATATTTACACAAGCTTATTACGTTAGTTACTTGCTTTATGTCTATCTCCCTCATCCCTTCAATTTGTCTTGGGAGTTTCAAATTTTCCAACCACTCCTTCCTCATTGTTTGACATTGAGATTTCAACTTGCTCTTTCTGATTTTAAGTATAAGTGCCTTTTTTGTTTCCATTTTTCTTAAAACCTCCTCTTTATTCAATGTCCATGGTATTCTCAGCATCCTTCTGTAGCCCCAGAGAGTTGCCGCAACTCTTCTTTCTATCTATACTGAAATCGTCCAGCATTCACTGCAATATAGGAAGATTGATATTACTTAGCAGCATATCACACTTTTCTTTGTTCCTAATGAAATGTTCTATGTTTCTTAGTCCTTACGGCCAAATCACGTTGAACACACCGGTTTCCGTACAATCAGCGAAGTTAAACGACCTCGAGTCTGGTCAGTACCTAGATGGGTGACCGCTTGAGAATACCAAGTGCTGTAAGCTTGGAGGTGAGGGTGGTGTAATGGATAACGGCTCGGAGTTGTTAATCAGGCAGCCGTGTTTCAGTTCCAATTGGGTGCGTTATATTCACTTAGACGCCGACAGACTTGAGAAAGGTATGAATCCACCTCCCCCCAACCAACTAAAGGATAAATTTAATTTCACGGAACCATTATTATCACCAAAAATAAATATTATCTAAAAAAAAATTATGTCTTTAAATAACCTGCAAAGGGTTGATAAGCCGTAAAAAAACAAATCAATCAAATACTGATTAGCAATGTCTTTTAGATTTATTTACGTTCTCTAATATAAATGCATAGAAACTACCGTGGACACAAAGTGGGGGATCAGTTTATATATTGATTGTAATGTCGAATCGATCCTCTACTTTATGTCCACATTAAAATTTCTTGTTTGTTTACCAGATTCTAATTAGATGTAGATTCACCACTTCTCCCTCACCCCCAGATATGGGTTAATCAGTATGAGTTGAATCACTAAATAACTGTCATCCCCCAAAAAGAATTGTTATCGAAAAATATTTTCTGGCTTTAAATAACCTGAAAAAGGTTGATTAGCCATACAAAACAAATCACTCAATTATGTTTCTTAGTATTTTACTTAAGAATACTGAACTGTTATGTAATATCATTCCTCCTCTACGCTAGTGAATGCTGGTTAATCACGTCACAGATGAAGAAGAGACTTTAGGCAACAGAAATGTGGTTCTACAGAAGGATGCTGAGAATACTATGGATCGAACATGTGAGCAACGGAGATTTAGAGAAAATTAAAACAAAAAAAGGACACTTATACTTAACATCAAGAAGAGACAGTTGAAATTTATAGGGTACATAATGAGGAAAGAGGGCTTGGAAAATTTGATACTCACAGGGCTGATTGACGGCAAGATGAGCAGAGGTCAACAACGTATAACCTAACTACCGAGCTTGGGTAATTGTATGGCGAAACAGGCTTTAGGAGAGATAGGAAAACGACAAAATTTACAATGGACAGGAAATTGGGGAGAGCCATGATCGCCAAGTTTCTGAAGGGACACGGCATATTAAAAAATATTAATTGTTGATTGAGTAGCGCTTGAACCTTATATTGGATTAACAATGATGTTCTACTATCTATTTAAACAAGCTCTTTAGGTAGGTTACTCATTCTTGCTGTCCCGCTTGACTTCAGTCAAATGTCTGAGCGTCAAATCCCCCCCTCTTTCCTCATTGTGTATACCAAAAAATGCCAACTGCCCCTTTCCGATTCTAAGTAGAATGCAGTTTTTTTCTTAATTAGCGCGGATTTTTTTCCTAATTCTCTGTCTCCCTCTTCTGTTCTTCACGTATTCACTCACTCGAGTCCTGCACGGTGGAACTGTCTTTGAAGAAAAAAAATCTCAAAAGCGATTACCCTAATGTTTGCATTTTAAGCCAGATTGTAATAGGTATGTTTAAGGAGCTTCCATATTAAAACTAAGAAGACAGCACTGGCTTCGACGTCGCGTTGGCGGGAAATAAAAGGAATGCTTGTGTTCTGGTGAAACTTTCTCGAAACAACACCTCCGAGTTGATTTTGAAAAGGATATTCGTTACATCTTACTTATTATAAAACGCAGATTGTGTGTGTGTCTGTACGTTTATATATTGGATCGGATTTCCTACATTTTTCAACCGATTTCAACAAAACTTCACAGGACTACGTAAAATTACCTTGCGGTGGTTCTAACAGAAAAATTGAAAAACCACAATTGTTTTTGCACAAAATCAATTTGAAAACACGATTAAGAGGCATCACGAGAATAAAGTGGGGACAACTCATATCGAGTTATACTTATAAAACCCAGGTTGTTTGCGTGTGTGTGTTCGTTTATATATGGGATCGGATTTCCTACATTTTTCAACCGATTTCAACATTTCACTTTTTTTTTTTTTTTTTTTTGGCAGGTAGTGTTTCTTATTGTCTTGCATACTTTTCTTCTTTATTTTTACATTCAGAATGCTTTAAAAATTCCATTCCAATTGTTTATCATAAAATTTTATTCAATCGGTAGACTCATAACGATTGAAAACAATGTTTTTATTTGAGTTTGGGTTTGACCAATTCGTAAAAAAAAAAAAAACTAATTAAGACATGCGTGTCCGTCAACCTTAAACAATAATCTTTGTCAATTTTATTTTTCAGTCTCTATAATGGTCGATACTTGATCTATCTCTTACTGTTACATCCCCGGGCAACGCCGGGCTCTACTGCTAGTTTTCTGATAAAACAAGGGAGTAACAAAAGGAATATTGGGGTACGTTTCTATAAACAGTACCACCCGTTTGAATTTAAAAAGAGATAATCGGGGCATTTGCTGATAAATAACTTTTGTGTGCAAAGCTGTGATAAATGGAATCTCTAGACACTGGGAAACCCTTCGGTTCACAGCACTGCCGATTTGAGTTTAAAATGATAGTCGAATCATTTTCTGATAAATACATGCTGTTAGCGAGACAAAAGGAATATCTGGGCACTGGAGATTCTTTTTCTAAACTGCACCTCTCAGCAGTTACATCTGATGATAAATACCTGTTCCGTGCAGTTGAGTTTTAAAAGGGATATTCATTAATTTTTGCTAATAAATACCTGTTTTTGGAGAGGGAACAACAAAATAAATACCTGGCCACCTTTCTCTAAACAGTACCTCTCAAATGTGTTTTAAAAACGATTGTGGTGATCGTGGTTTATTTACTAATAAATACCTGTTTTTGGTTAGGATCTAACGAATGAAATGCCTGGACACTGAAGAACCTATCCCTAATCAGCACCTCTCAAATATTTTTTAAAAACGATCTTGGTGACATTTGCTAATAAATACCTGTTTTTGGTTCGGAAATAACAAATTAAATGCCTGGGCACTGAGGAACCTTTCCCTAAACAGCACCTCTCAAATGTGTTTTAAAAACGATCGTGGTGACATTTGCTAATAAATACCTGTTTTGTTTGAGGAAATAACAAATGAAATGCCTGGGCACTGAGGAACATTTCCTTAAACAGTACCTCTCAAATCGTGGTGACATTTGCTAATAAATACCTGTTATTGGAGAGGGAACAACAAAAGAAATACCTGAGCACTGAGGAACCTATCCCTAATCAGCACCTCTCAAATGTGTTTTAAAAACGATATTGGTGACATTTGCTAATAAATACCTGCTTTTGGTTAGGAAATAACAAATGAAATGCCTGGGCACTGAGGAACCTTTACCTAAACAGCACCTCTCAAATGTGTTTTAAAACGATCGTGGTGACATTTGCTAATAAATACCTGTTTTTGGTTAGAAAATAACAAATGAAATGCCTGGGCACTGAGGAACATATCCCTAATCAGCACCTCTCAAATATTTTTTAAAACGATCGTGGTGACATATGCTAATAAATACCTGTTTTGTTTGAGGAAATAACAAATGAAATGCCTGGGCACTGAGGAACCTTTCCCTTAACAGAACCTCTCAAATCGTGGTGACATTTGCTAATAAATACCTGTTATTGGAGAGGGAACAACAAAAGAAATACCTGAGCACTGAGGAACCTTTCTCTAAACAGTACGTCTCAAATGTGTTTTAAAAACGATCGTGGTGATCATGATTTATTTGCTAATAAATACTTGTTTTTGGTTAGGAAATAACGAATGAAATGCCTGGGCACTGAGGAACCTTTCCCTAATCAGCACCACTTAAATGTGTTTTAAAAACGATCGTGGTGACATTTGCTAAGAATTGGCAAAAGAATTGCCTGGACACTGGAGAACAAGCACCGCATATGTGAGTTTTGTGTGGGGGGAAGGGGAATTAGTCGTCTCACTTTATGATAATTATCTGTTATTGGCGAGGGATAAAAAAAAAAAAGAATGTCTAGGCACTGGGGAACCTTTCATCAAGTCATACCTCCCAACTGAATTTAAGAAAAGATCGTCTTGATGCCTGCAGTACCTAAGTCGACGTTTGTTCTGTTTTGTTTTTGTTTTTTCAGTAGTTTTCTAAAGAATCATCTGTATTATGTAGATATTTACATTGATAAAAAATATACCAAAAAAAAAAAAAAAAAAAAAAAAATGGAAACAGAAAGAAACTTTATAGTGCCATATATGTTTGTGAATAATTTGTAATCGTTTTTTTTTTTTTTTTTGTTTTTTTGTCGTTTTCTCTTTTGGCCCTCATTATTTGCTCACTAAATGTTGCCCTCAGCGGCTATTTTCAGTCGCCATTACGAGTTGTCTTCGGGGATGTGTTTTGATTTAAGATGCTGTCAAGGTTCGTTCAGTTTGGATAACCAGTTAAGACAAAAGAAAGACAAAACTAACGCTATGACAAAAGAAAAAAAAAGGGGGAGGATGCTGGGAGCAGAAGGATGATGGGGTGTGGGGCCGTGATGGCCAAATCAAAAAGCAATTCCATTTCATTAGCGAAGAAGAACCAAGGGGATCCTGGAAATACTCGCTTATACACCGTGGTGACATTTGCTAATAAACACGCCACCCCATACACACACCACGGAGCAAACAGACCAAAATGGCCGACTAAACACACACACACACACACACACAGATACACGTACACGCAAAGACATACATACATACACATTAACCACAGATACATTTTCAAATATACACTTAAAATGCCTACACCTATACTTGTAAAATATACAAATCCACTTTTCGGTACCTCCGGCATGCCAAATCCAAATCTAGGCTTTCTCGCTCCCTGATTGACTATGTCTTCAAGGGTATAACCATACTCACCATGCTTGGCTAATTGCGGGTTGATGAGGCAATTTAACCCATAGTTGGGGGGGGTTAAATTCAAAGTTGCCCTTCACCGAAACTGGTTGCCACCCATTCTGAGCCCTTTATTTAGTCCACGCGGGTAGATTGTTCTAGTTCCATGTGCCGTGCCTTTTGTGGATATCTCAGTTCTAGTTAATTCCCTTTTTTCTCCAAGTTTTTTTTTTTTTTTT